GGGGGCTGAAGGGTGTGTTCAGGTTTGGAGCTGGCTGGAAGATGGAGAGTGGTGACCCGATGGGGCTTGGGCTTCCCAACGGGGCTGTGGCCTCCCTGGGGCCCCCAGATGGACCTAACTAAAGGGGGAGGGGGCTGTTGTCGGTACCGGCAAGACCTGTTTTGGACTGTGTTCCTGTCGTCTAAATAAACCTTCTGTTCAACTGTCTGGCTGAGAGTCATGGTGAATCACAAGAAGCCGGGGGTGCAGGGCCTGGTCTCTCCCACACTCCGTGACAAAAGGTTATCTTAATACACCTACAGTGGGGTATGTCATAGGCTATGTCAGAGTCTAATAGTGACTCTGTATGAATATTTTCTTTAAGTACTGAAAAATGTGGAGCAGGTGAATAGTTGTCATTGATAGAGCAGTGAAATGTAATTGGATTTCATTATATCCACCAGCGGTAAGGTAAAAATTTGAGAAACAAACAAACTGGTGACTGGTTTACTAAATATAATTTAAAATATACCTCCCTCAAATACTTGCAAACCCAGTTAATTAATTGAAATAATTGACATAAATGAATAAATCAAGATTTCTATTTAGAGTTTTGGTCACAACGTAATCATCATTTGAGTACGGTACATTGTATTGATTTTTCAGAGTGCATAGAGTACTGCATATACTGCAACTTTGTCACTTGCAGAAAAGAAAATGAAGATTGCACGATGGTAAGAAACACAACATTGTATGAGAAACACACACTGTATGTTGGAACAGATAAGTCCAATCCCACAAAGCCATGTGGCCCTCCTCACCATCTGCCATCTCTGACGCATGGAGCATGGAGCCTGACACAGCAAATTGAGTGATATATAGCATAAGACTGATACAATAATATGAAAGCAAGTGTATATATATGAGCACTAAGTTGTTACAACCATTCATTACATAGAGAAAGGATCATGAAACATGTACAGAATCTGTAAGAAAAAGCGAAACCCACTTACACAGTCGGCAAGTGTAAAATTTCACATCCTTCATCTACCAAGTAACTGGAAAATCCACAATTGGAACAAAAGAGACAAACTGATGGCAGAACTGCGGACCACTCATCCTAAAGGTATTCAATACCAAATTTTCATTATTATTTGTTAATGATGTGTAATTATGTGTTTTCTAAATAGAAGTGTTATTAGTTTGTAGAAACGTATTTACAGCATAAAGACATCAGTTCTGTAGAAACCGCACAAGAGGCTCTGACTACGTTTAAAAGAAAAATAACAATTCTTTTAATGAAGGAGTCAGGTAATAACTTCATTACATATACCTAGTGAGCCCATAGTATATCACAAGATAACAGGAAGAGTGGAATTATGTCACATAAAGGTTATCTTAATACACCTACAGTGGGATATGTCATAGGGTATGTCAGAGTCTAATAGTGACTCTGTATGAATATTTTCTTTAAGTACTGAAAAATGTGGAGCAGGTGAATGGTTGACATTGATAGAGCAGTGAAATGTAATTGGATTTCATTATATCCACCAGCGGTAAAGTAAAAATTTGAGAAACATAGACTGTTTTCCCAAATATAATTTAAAATATACCCCCCTGAAATACTTGCAAACCCAGTTAATTAATTGAAATAATTGGCATAAATGAATAAATTAAGATTTCTATTTAGAGTTTTGGTCACAACGTAATCATCATTTGAGTACATTGTATTGATTTTTCAGAGTGCATAGAGTACTGCATATACTGTAACTTTGTCACTTGCAGAAAATGAAAGATTGCATGATGGTAAGAAACTCAACATTGTATGAGAAACACACACCGTATGTTGGAACAGATAAGTAAGCAGAATATGATGGTTTGTAGTACAAGAACAAAGGCCATGGCCCAACATCTAGCCAATTGCATAGGGACCCAGTGTAATAACCAGCCTAAGGATCAAGGTTCTTGTAATAATTCCAGTAACAAACATTTTCACCACTGCTGATAGTCATATCTTGAGTAATGATTATATGTTGAAGGAATATCATTTTATAAATGTTATGAGTAAACAGAAATTATGTTTAGTATTATTAGTTCTGTAATTTCATTTTCTCATCTAGTACTTATCAAAGGTCCAGTGTGACTCTTGTAAGAGGAGGGGACATATGCCTTGCCTTCCAGAGGGAACTAATGAAGAAAACCTAACTGATGAGAAGAAAGAGTATAAGTGCAACAAGTATGCATAGTTCAGATGTTAACCTAATATGTATATTATATAATTGTTTTGTTAAGAGAAATATTTTGGTTTTCTTGGAATAATGCAGTTGGAATATAAACGAGTAATAGAGAAGTTTACTTGTACTGTTCATTTCAGTATAGAAAAAAGGTGTTAATAACTATCTATACATATATTTTGATGCTTGTTTTTGAAAAAAATTTGGAACGGAAAGTAAACAGTTCTTGTTTATATACCTGGTTACAATAATAAAGTTTTTAAATTTTGAAAAATACCTCTTTTTATTTGTGTCCATGTTTACAATGGCGATTTCAAAATGGTAGCAAATTGTAACAGGACATCAATATGCACCACGGCTTGCTACCTCTCACCTTTGTCCAAGGGTAGCTAATTGCGATGGATGGTGATGCCCTGTCAGAATTTGCTAAACATGGACCAGAGGATGTGAAAGGTACCCCGAATCAGACGATGTGAAAGGTGAGAGGTAGCAAATTGCAACAAATGACCCCATCACAATTAGCTATCCTGACCAGACATGAAAGATCAGAGATAGCAAATTATGACAAAGAGACCGCCAGTTCTTCAGAATTCATCACCACTGGCCAAAATTGAGGGAAAGTATCAAATTATGACAGGGCAGCTTGTGTGTCAGAAGCTGTTACGGGTAGCAAAATGTGTCGGTGGCGGCTTTTGATGCCTCACTTGCCAGCCATACATGCTAGACCCAAGGATTGCTCAGTTCAGTTAACATTCCTTATGCAGCTGAAATACATGAACAAATACATCTTCAGAACTGAATAAAAATGACATGGGTGTTTACAGGCCTGTTCAACAGCCTCACTGCCAGGTTTTCACACCTTTTCAGAATGTGACAGTACTGGAAGGATGGCTGGAAAGACCAAATTATAGTAACTCCTCACTTAAAGTCATCCTGGTTAACGTTGTTTCATTGTTACGTTGCTGATCAATTAGGGAACATGCTCGTTTAAAGTTGTGCAATGCTCCCTTCTAATGTCCTTTGGCAGCCGCCTGCTTTGTCCGCTGTTTGCAGGAAGAGCAGCCCGTTGCAGCTAGCCGGTGGGGGCTTGGAACCAGGGTGGACTGGCAGCCCCCCTACCAGCTCCCCTTATCAGTTCCCCGCTCCCCAAAGTTCCCTGTGCAGCAGCTGCCCAGCAGTCTAGCAATTGCAACTGTCCCTCCCCCCACTTCCATATGCAGCTCCTGCCCTCTGCCTTGGAGCTGCTCCCTGAGACTCCTGCTTGCTGTGTGGGAGGGAGGGGAAGAAGAGGGGGGCTAATGTCAGGGTGTCCCCCTCCCCCCGCATACCCCATCTTCCATAGAGCAGGAGACACACACACCAGGGCTCAGGATGGAGGGAGCTTGCTGGCAGGAGCTGCGGTCTCAGCAAGCTGATCTAATTAACAAGGCAGCGTACTTAAAGGGGAAATGCACATCTCTCTCTCTCTCACACATAGTGTGTGTCTCTGTCTGCGATGCTGTCTCCCCTCCCTCCATTCCTGCTGCCTTGTAGAATGTGAGAGTTAACCCTTGAGGGCCCAGCCAATTGCTAGTTCATCATTTAGCAGTAAGGCATTCCCTGGGAAATATCCCACCCTCTGACTCCTTCACCTCAACCAAGCTTCACAATCATCATCACTGTGTACCAGTATTAAATTGTTTGTTTAAATCTTATACTCTGTGTGTGTATATATATATAATATAGTCTTTTGTCTGGTGAAAAAAAATTCCCTGGAACCTAACCCACTCATTTACATTAATTCTTATGGGGAAATTGGATTAGCTTAACATCGTTTCACTTAAAGTCGCATTTTTCAGGAACATAACTACAACGTTAAGTGAGGAGTTACTGTATTTTACAGGAAGGCATTTCATTCAGCCTCCGGAGACTCTCCTTGCTCTCAAGGTGCTCAGAATGGCTGAGACAGTCACTGATGAGGTCATAAATGCGTTCATATGCCTAGTTTACCATTTGAAGACCAACATTATGACACTTGCAGAGCTATGTCGGTGGATGTTTTCCAAGCAGCAGGCAAACGGAAAAAAATTGTCATTGACAAGGGATGCATTTATATTTGCTATCAAGAGGGCAAAGTATCAGGCAATGGAATGGCTCTGGGATGATTGACCGCATCCAAAATTGTCTTCTTCTATCTGGCACTAATGGATCTTGGAGGATGGAATGATCACACTAATTATGCATAAAATACCATGCACTCCTTCAGCTAATCAAAAGCTCATGTACAAAGACCAGATGCCCACCACCCTGCAAATGTCTGGCTAGCCGTCTACCTTAACAGAGATGTGTGAGTGTGATGTGGATGACGATCAATGTGACGTGTCTAGCAGTGGAGCCCTAGACGGAGATCACACAGATAATGACTTTGATGAATACATGTTTTCAGTCCTACATGTCAAGGCTAAACTCCCTAGGATTACCAAAGGTCAATGTCATTTTCATCTAAGCAATGCATCCCTCTGTTAAAGTATAATTTTTAAAATTGATATTTCTATATTTTCTCAAATAGATATATACATAATTGTTTTAGGTTTGTCACCATTATGTTAATGGGAGAAAGATATTATACAAACGCCTAAATTGACCCATTTCTGACAAAGTTGTATTATCAAAAGTTCCACCAGCTGGAGGACCTGGAGATGGCAGCTGAAGGGTGGGAGGTGGAGGGTAGGCATAAGCTTCAGATACATCTGAAGAAGTGAGGTTTTTACCCACGAAAGCTTATGCCCAAATAAATCTGTTAGTCTTTAAGGTGCCACCAGACTCCTTGTTGTTTTTACTAAAATTACTGGTATGAATCCTGACCGAGTCAAAGATTGTGTGTGTGTACTTTAAATATAGACAGAAACAATTTTAAAACACTTTTGATAAATGATTATAGTACACTGATAGCAAACTGTGAAGGGATCAATATATTGATAGACTTCTTGTAAGCAATTCTATTTTCATGGACTTGGTAGTAAATCTGCACCATATTCTTCCAGACATATTTTCCAGTTACCCTAACAGCTGTTGCAGCACTATATCCTCTTCTTCTGAAATGTTTCACTATTTAATTTACCAGAAGATCCATTTTCCACTGCTGTATTTGGAAAGTTCCTGTCAACTAGACCGAAGAGCCGCTGAGTTGATCTGTACGTCCAGTATGGATTAAATATTAATGTAAGTGTACTTAACCCCATGAAAAAGACAATAAAACAGGGAAGTCCCAGATTTTCCACCATTTCATTCCAATTGGAAATATACACCCACCACATGTGATAAATAAGGACCATGCGACAGTGAAACATATGGATATTTCCCCATTGGTTTGCCTTCCAAAAAAGGGTATTAGCATAGCCAATCTGGAAGAGACAACAACCAAGAAAGAGAAATGAGATTGCAGCTTCAAGATAAGGCAGTCAGTGTTTTCTATAAGTAAGAGATATATTTAGCTTTCCTGTTGTATTTAGTGTAAACTGCCATACACACACATTCTCTCAATCATTTTTCTCTGGAGTGCTAAGAGATTGCACATTTATATAGCACCTTTTGTCCAGCAGAATTCTAAACCACTTCGCCACCTATGTGCATTTAACATCACATAGATGAAGCTACCTGTTGAAGGGAGGAAGACAATCAAAACAAAGCACCTGTCACAAAAGTGCAGGGAGTCTGGGAAGTTATGGCAAACACCTCCCAAGCAAACCTTGACTCTAACTGCTCTAGCACCTACATGCACAGACAGGACCTTCAAGTTTAAGTTCTCATTAAAAGCATCACAGGAGGGCTGAGGTGAACGTGTCAGGGCTTATGGCTATAGTTTTAAAGAGTCCAGATATTTTAGAATTTATGCTTAAGCCACTAAGACAGACCGCTTGGAACTGATTGCGGTTTCAGAAGCAGGGCTGATTTCTTTTCTCCCTACAAGCATGGAAGATCTCTTCAAAGCTGTTCTCCCTCTCTGCATCCATAGAATATACATACACTCTCAGATGTGTGAACACACATGCACACACCTTTAGTCTCCAGCAGAAATTCAATGGTCTATATTAAGCTTGTTGGAGCTGATGAGCTATTCTTATGTTACTATTTTCAGTCTTAAACAAATATTTTAAAAATAGAGTTTAGTCACCTAATCTTTAGTCCTGTGCACTAGATCTCAACTAGTGAGTCTGTAAAGTAATTTTTAAAAATCTTTCAATTTTCTTTCTGTGCTACAAAGTGGGCAAAAATGTTTAATATCTAAGTATTTTAGCATGTTATAATTAAGGATCACCATGGCCATTTCACTTCAAGTTTGGAAGGAAAAATTCTTCCTTGATCCCAGAACTAATCTCTTAATTTGGAGGCCAATATTTCTTTGCAGATATTTTTTGAGCAGGAGGCAATGTGAGCTTTATAATGGAAACTTCTATCACCAATAATAAATACACCAAGTTATTACCTTTAAAAGCACATTGGAGATGCAGGTTGAAGGAGCACTCATCTCAAGTAGCAGTCCCATCAGGGGTAGATAGTGTCCAGACTTTATGTTTGTTATCACACCAACAAGCCCAACAAAGGCAAATAAATGATGAACCACTGAGGGCACATCAAACATCCTGAAAACAATATTAGACACATGAATAACTACATTTTCATGCAAGAAGAAGCCAGCAGCTATTAAGCAGTGAAACCAGCTCCACTTTTGCGGTGCATACAGTTGGTCAGCTTGAAAAACTGGATCTATGAGCAAGGCCCACAAGCCAGCTCCACAACTCTGAACTGCAAACAGGCCACGTGTTATAGATATATTCCAAAAGGCCTTCTCCTTTCCCGACAAAGTGCGATAACTGGTACTGATCCATGATGACAGCCAGTGAGCTAGAAGAAATACTCCCAGGTAGATAAAAAATCCAGCTGCTAGTAACTTCAAACGAACATCCCACAGAACATAGTCCCAGTCAAATATGTCTCTGGATGTTGCGCCATGATTTGCAAGATTCATTTCTTCTTCTCTAATTCGAAATATTTGGAGGGAGTCTGAAGGTTCCCAGCCACATGTTGGTCTATGTTAAAGCTACTGAGCCTGTGCTGTTACACGGAGCATCTGCAATTTAAAAAAAAGAAAAGAAGAGATGCGTAGAGAATGGCCCAGTGTATATATATATATATATATATATATATATATATATATATGATCTCCCCATTTATGAAAGCGTCACTAATACTTCCACTAATATTTCCCAACAGTTCACAAAAAGACCCTCAAAATAAAATAACCTACACAAAGTTGGCCCAGTCAGCTAAACACTGTTATGTGGCCACCTTACTTTTTTCAATAACCTAAAAAAAACAACTGAGGCTTACAATTCTCCAGCGGAATATTTAAGTATTTCTGAACCTTCATTTTTTCATCTGTAGAGCCCTCTGGATATGTCTACACTGTATTTGAAAACCTGCAGTAGTGAGTCTCTGAGTCCTGATCTACAGACTTAGGCTTGTGCAATGGCGCAACAGACCCAGACTTGTGCTATGGCACTAAAAACACCTGTGTAGATTTTCAGGCTGGAGCTGGCGCTTGAGTTCTGGAATTCACGGAAGGGGTGAGTTTGAGAGCCCAAGCCGCAATGTTTACAGTGCTGTTTTGTGCCGAAGCATGAACTTTGGACTCTGAAACTTACTGCCACTGGTTTTAAAATGCAGCATAGTCATACCCTGTGACAGGGTGCATCAACCACACTGTGATGGGGTGCACGCAACCCGCACTGGATGGGGAAGGGTTAACTCCACATTGTACACTGAGGAAGCTTTGCCTGTTAGCCCCATGCAGCGTGGCTCAGGCTTTGGCTTCAGCCACGCCATGACTTGATTTTGTACATTTTTACGATGACTGTTCTGTGAATTTAGGCTAATTTTACTGTGACAAAATCATAAACATACAGGGTCCGGTTCACACAATTAGTAAGCCAATCAAAGCCTGTGATACAATGTAGAATGTAATGCACGTTAGTCTGTTTTAGAATATGTATATAATCTGATTAATAACTATGTACTTTGGAACTGTAATGCACCCTAACCTGCCCCCACTACTCCTGACCTGATCACCTCAGATGCAGCTTTCTGAAACGAAACCTCAGTGATGAGCCCAGATTTGAACTGACTTGTGGATTCCAGAGAATTGGATAAAGTGTTCTGGATAAGCCAAGTGGAAACGGTCTCAGAGGGAATCTCAACAATATCAGACACCAAAAAATTAGGGCATAATTCTACAAAACCTTATTCTAGTAAATGGGACTACTTACATGAGAAAGGGCTTGCAGGATCAACTTGTGAACAGAATTGCACTGTCAACGTCTGAACAGAATTAGACCAAAAGGTCTTTTATTCCTGAAGCTAACTAAGGGTATGTCTACACTTACAGAGTTTTTGCGCTGTAAGTTTCGCCGGTGATAGGGAACGAGTGAAAGTAAAGTGCTGGTTTGTGTACTCACTCAATTCCTCAGGTGTCAGAAAGTGTTTACACTACCAGCACTTCCATCGCCAATGAGAGTAGCGCTGTAGGGCAGCTATCCCACAGTGCAGCTCTCTCGATAGGTCCTGTGGGAAGGGGAGGGGGTGAGCGGAAGGCATTCTGGGTCCCTGCTCAGTGCCCCGTGTGCTGCCCTGCTTCATGTCTCAGGAGCCCCTTTACTTCCTGGTTTCTTCCATGGCATTCTTTTTAAAACCTCCTGCTGTCTTGCTGCTTTCCCCGCCACATCTACAAACAAAGGGAAAGGGAGCTCCAAACTTCCCAGGGCTTACAGGGGGAGGGGCGGACATCCGAGCATCAGAGCAGATGCTGGCCAGAGTGGTCGCTTTTGGAACTGTGGCATATCCTCCAGAGGCCAAAAGGAGTTTACACTGCTAGAACATGTCTTCACTTTCACAGCAGCGCAAAAAGAACAGCGGTAACAGCTGTATGCCTCTCGTGAAGGTGGTTTTCTTTTTGTGGTGAAACTTCTGAGTTTCACCGCAAAAAGTCATTAATAAGTGTAGACGCTCCTGCGGTTTTAGTGCAAAAAAGGGACTTTTAAATGGTAAGTGTAGACATACCTAAGAGGGTAGGACATAGAGAAACAACCTCCCTATTGTCACCCCCAGTATCACAGTTATTACTAATTGTATACTCCAGGATTTTCAAGTTAACAAAAACTTCTCCAACATGATGTGGTTTAAAGAAGCTGAACATTTTCTTTTCTTTTTCTTTTAAAATATCAGTGAGCACAGGTCCATTTTGCTGATGCATTAGACTAGAGTGGCATGACCACTGGACACAGCACATCCTGTCAATGTGGCTAGGGGAAGAACTGCCCAGAGAGTATCTAATTTAACACAGTTTGACCGGGACATCTGATGGGAGATAGAAGAGGAAGCCATATAGATCCTTAGTAGCATAAGTAAAAAGCTTCTACAGAGATGCCTTCCTTTCCTGCTCCCCAATATAATAAATAACAGAAGCATCCTTATAGCGAGAGAGCAATGGAATATTGTTTATTTATATTCTCAGAGGGCCTGATTCTGCTCTCCTTTACACCAGAGTAACTCCACTGGCCTTTCCTTCCTACTGCCTTGCATCTTGGGCCAGTGGGAGCGTTAAGAATTCTAATTTGGTAGCATTTTACACTCACCCTGCACAGATGTATACAACTACACAACGTACAAGGAAGTGGGGAATCAGGCCATTAACCGTAAGCATAGTTTACACTGGTGTGAAGAGAAAGTCCCATAAACTTTCCTCTCTCAATTCTGCACAGAGAAAGCAAAACACCCTCCAACCCCTGCCTCCCCTCAGCACAAGCACAGTTACATCCAGGCTGTGTGAAATGCCCCTGATTTCATGCAGTAGCCTCTCTCCAGGAAGTAGGATGTTTTTTCAGCATTTAACCAAAAACAAGTTACTTAAAGCTGTCTAATCCCCACTTCCTCCTCCTCACAAGAAGAAACAGTACACCACAGAGAAAATATTTGCAAAAGAATCAGTACAGGAGGGGAAACAACAACAACGAAATACTAATACGCAGGTTCTCCTAGGCCCACCCTTCCCATTCAGTAAAAAGAGTGCAGTAGTTAATAAAGCCCTTCTCCACCCCGCACCATTTGCTTGCTGCTTACTGGGTAGTCTGCTTCACTTGCTCTGCACTTTCTCCCCACAGCCTCTGTGCTTTCCTGTCATGTGCTCAAAAGCAGTGAGCAGCCGACTGCAAAACAGAGAAGTCCGGGCTGCTTCTTCCACCTTTGCAGAAGCAGAAGCAGCTGCAATAGCCTTGAATCCCAGCTCCTCACCGCAGCAGGGAGAGACGCCTGCACATACATGGGATAATGTCGCTTCCTCCAGCCCCATCTTTTGTTTCTGCCTGAAGTAAACCTTTGCTCCCTCCCCGGAGTGGAGCGCACCAAATAACCCGCACTGGCAAGCCGGACTCTGGGGTTGTTCACAGTTCTCCTTGGATCTTAATTCTGCAGGGCAGATGGGGGTGGGGGGTCAGACCATACTCTACCCTGGTGCTGCAGCCAAGTTTCGCGTTGCACTGAGCAAAAGGGCGATCGCCCCCCAGTACAGAGTCCTGACAAAACACAGCCGCAGCTGGTAGGATGCAAAACATGTCAGGTGCAAAGCCAGCCTGAGCCCAGCTAGAACCACTGAGCTGTGTAGAAACGTGTGAGCTGGAACTGAGGGACAGACCCCTCCAACATCCTGCTATGGGCAGGACGTGTGTGTGTGTCCCCCGCACAGAAATAGTGTGGCTGTATCGCGCCTCAACTGTGGTATACGAAGGGACCTACGTCTTGGTTTTGCGCAGCTTGGTGTGGGACATTTATCACCAGCCATAGTCACGGATTTCCCTCTCTGGGTGCTCCCCCGCTGGGGCAGGGTGGGCATGCGGCAAGAGCCTCTCCAATGTGCCCTGTAGAAGCAGGACTGGGGCAGGGATGAGCGGGGGTTGGCGAAGGCAGGGTGACTGGGGAAATCGGTGGGGATTTAGGGTACTGAGTCAGGGGGAGCACGTGGAGTAAGATGCCTGGGGGTTGTTTGGAGGGGGATTGCGGAAGAGAACAGGTTAACTGGGGGGTGGGGGAGGAGAGGCGGGTAATGGAGTCTGGACCAGATTGGAAGCATTTAAAGCCTCAAGCATTGCGGGAGGGGGGGGAGTTTGGAGCAGGCCCCCCGACCTACATTACTTCCAATTAGCTTCCCCCACTCTAGCTCTGTGCCCCATTATTCTGCTTCATTCCCTGCCTGCCCCTTCCGCCCAGCCCCCAGCTTTGCTGCTCACCGAGTCTCCTCTCGCTGTTGCCTGGAGCGCTACCATCTGCTGCTTCCTGCTGACACTGGCTGCGAACCAGCGTGGGGAGCAGGGCGAGTCCCGGTTAGTCTCGTTTCAGTTTCACTTTGCTTATCTTACGCCCTAGCAAAGTGGTGCAGTGTTCGGGTTCTTGTTTTTTAAAAAAGCCTTAATATTTACATTAATATTAGGTTTTATGAATTTATTTCTATCTGATGGAAGCGAAATGTGGGGCTTAAACAACCTGACATTGTCCCTTTAATTATCACAACATTAATTTTAGAAGCCAACACCGAGATGGCCCTGATCAGTATCTTAAGCCTTTTTAGTTCACTAAACTTCTTCAAAATATCCCTAAGAGGGGCCTTGTTTTGTTACAGCTCAGTCAATACTGCTTTTTCATAATAAACTTTAAAAAAGAATAATGCTTCAAATAGGCCTCACTGCATACAGAATATCCTTTAAAAAGGTCATGTCATGTTACATCTCAGTCAATTCTGTATTTTCGTGTTAAATGTTAAAAACCTTTATATAACGAAACACTGCATTGTTTAGCAAGTCTTAAAAGTATGGGGGGAAAGTCAAGGGGTAAGGGTATTCTTCAGATAGGCTATCTCTAAGGGCTTGTCTATACTTACGCGCTGGTTCAGCAGCAGGCAATCGAACTTCTGTGTTCGATTTATCGCGTCTTGTCTGGATGCGATAAATCAAACCCATTAGTGCTCCCCGTCGACTCCGGTAATCCTGCTCGGCGCGAGGAGTACGCGGAGTCGACG